AATCTGTAAACCGCTTAGAGAGGACTGAAAGCCCTATGAAGCGGTATATAAGTCTAATTAATAAATAAATTTGTCTTGGACTCTGATTTACTTTTGGATGCTATTTGGAACCATGACACCTGGCTTACCGTGACTTCTTGGGGACATTTCTTGAGTTCGTCATTCTTCACAGCGTTGTTCAGATTCAAGCTGCAACAGAGTTGGAGAGAAATATGAACATCTTTGTGTCCATATAAATCACTGTTCGTCAATGAGACTCATGCAGATTGATACTCATAAACAGAAAAGTTTTTGGGGAAAGGATTCATTCACGATGCTAGCTCCCAGATGGAGGAAGGGGAAAGTTTCCCTGAAGGCTGTCCTTCCAGAGAAGAAAAATGACACATGAAGCCACCACACAAGATCAATCTCGTACGCTGTCCTCCATCTCCTCCCTTTGTCAGATTTATTGTAGGTGGTCGCTGCAATTGGATTGGGGAGGGTCAGTAAAAGGTAGGGTATTGAGTCATTATACAGAACATTGTTGTGGCCCACCAGTGGCCAGCGGAGCTGACAGCAGATTCAGACAGTGAGGAGGTTGGGGAGGAACCTGGGCCAGTCCGGGAGTCTGGGGAAGGCTCTGTTGAGGGCTCTGTGTCGGAGGCAGAGAGGAGGCCAGAGCCGTATGCCAGTTAACAGCTGCCTTCAGAATCAGACATCAGTGAGGCAGAAGAACAGCTGGAGCCTGTTCCCAGTATGCGCATGCACAGAATTGCCAGAGGAAGGGAACAGCTAAAGAACAGGGTTGGCTTGGGAGTAAAGGCACAGGTGGACAATGAATGGCCCCTCCCAGAGGAAATAAAAGAGGAGCAAAAGGGGAGTGGAGTTTGCAGGAGACAATGAGTTCACTTAATTGGTTTGTGAGTCTCCGAGGCTCCTGGCCAAGTTTTGCAGACCTTCCGCTTCTCATCCAAGAAGCTTCTTCAGCTTCCCCACCATCCAGCCAGAGCTGAAGAAGCTCCTTGGATGAGAAGCGAAACATCTTCAGAGAGAGAGAGAAAAACTCCCAGAAAGTCCAGTTGCCTCTTGAAAAAGGACCTTAGGGACAACTGTGACTTGGAGGACTGAGAATCTCCATAGGCAGCAAGAGGGGGGGGGGGGAGAATCTGGATTCGCTTAATGACTCTGTGTTACACTTAAGAACTGAGGTGATTCACTTAACAACCACGCCAACAAGGGTGCAACCACTCATTTAATAGCTGCCTTGCTTAGCAGCAGAAATTCTGGTCCCAATTGTGGCCAGAAGGGGTGGGCTACCTGTGTCTGGTTGTACCTCTTTCAATACAATACAATACAATACAATACAATACAATACAATACAATACAATACAATACAATACAATACAATACAATANGGAGTGGGCGGCATACAAATCAATAAAACTATAAACTATCACAGGCCTTAGAGAGGAGAAGGGAATATACCTGTAAGTGGGTACAGACACGTCGCAAGACATCGTATACGCTGTCTCTGGAAATGAGGGACACAAAGATGTACTGCAAATAAAAGAGAACCATATGGGATGTGTGAGAAATAGGGAAAATCCAGGCGAAAACCAGCACCATGTCAGAATGCACTCAAAGAGGGGGGAAAAAGCATATTCAGATACATGTATGCAATGAAACAAGAGTTACTCATATTCAGGCAATGTCTGTTAGCAGAAAAATGGTCTGAAGGGCCTAGATCTACAACTTCAACTCCCATAATCCCCTGCCACACGTGACTTATCAGGGGCAGAAAGAGTAGAAACTTTCATCTCAGCGTGGCGGAAAAACCAGAGCCCTGGATTTGGCCAGAGAAGGAACTATAATAGCAACAGCAACGGAAGTTAGTATATGCCGCTTCACGGTGCTTTAAAGCCCTCTCTAAGCGGTTTACAAAGTCGCCTCTTGCCCCCAACGATCTGGGTCCTCCTTTTACCCAACTCGGAAGGAGGAGTAAACCTTGAGCCGGTGAGGATCGAACTGCTGGCAGTGGGCAGAGTTAGCCTGCAATACTGCATTCTAACCACTACGTCACCACGGCTCTCCCTCCCTCCCCCCCCCTTCTTCCTTCCACCCTTCAATTCTTCCATCCTTCCTTCAAGGACTCAAGGACGAGTCAACCTTGAGATGGTCAGAATCGAACTACCGAACGTCTGGCAGCCAGCAGTCAGCAGAATTAGCTTGCAGTTCTGCTCTTTAACCACTGCTCAATAATAGCCAGCAATTCTTACTTTTCGGCTGGCGTTGGTGGTGATCGCGAGTCCATTTGGCAACAACCGGGCTGTTTTGTGCTTTTTGATCAGTTGGACGGAGACCACGGGAATCACAACCTGAAACGAAAAAGGAAGTTGTAGAATGTCGACTTTGCGGAAATTCATTTTAGCTCCTAAACGGCTTCAGGGGTTGATTTAGGAAACGTACACTATATGGAGAAGATCATTCTATCCCTATTGAACCCTGGGCAACTAACAAGTGTGATTTTGCCCTCCAGCGACAAGCCTGATGTTATGAGCTCTCCAGGTAATCCTCGACTTACGACGATTCACTTAGTGACCGTTCAAAGTTACAACGGCCCTGAGAAAAAGTGACTCAGGGCTGTTTTTCACAGCTACGAACCGTAATCATGTGATCAAAATTCGGACAGTGAGGAGGTTGGGGAGGANCTTGTGGGTGTGGAGGCAAGGTCTTGAACTTTCAACTGGGTGGAAACCCAGGAAACTTTCAGATTCGGGTTAATGTCAGCGTTCCAAATATCATCCAGAATTAAATCAGAGTTCAAGGCAGAGCTTTCCTCAAAGTTCCAATTTAATAAGAGAGACATGTTGGTACAAACTGTGGAAACCCAGGAAGCTTTCAGATTCGGGTTTGTACCAACATGTCTCTCTTATTAAATTGGATCTTTGATGAAAGCTATGCCTTGGACTCTGATTTAATTCTGGATGATATTTGGAACACCGACACTCTGAATGCAAGCCATTCCACTGGTCCACTGCCCTCACCATTAGGAAATTTCTCCATGGTTCTAGGTTGCTTCTCTCCTTGATTAGTTTTCATCCATTGCTTCTCATCCTGCCCTCAGGTGCTTTGGAAAATAGATCAAACCCCATAATCTTTGTGGCAGCCTCTCAAATACTGGAATGTTGCTATCATGTCACCCCATCTCCTTCTTTTCCCTAGACTGGCCATGCCTAGTTCTTGCACAACTTTGGCATCGGAAAATCTGCAAAACTCCCAAAACTAACAAAAGGCAGCATGTAACATTGTATGCTGGCTGGGGAATTCTGAGAGTTGAAGTCTCCAAGTCTTAAACGTTGCCAGGTTTTAACACCCCTGAAAGAGAGGCTTTCGCAATGACCAAATCTAGGATGTACATGGACTTCCATAAAGTTACTTTCTGGACAATGGCTAGTGGGTTAAGTATCTTACAGAAGGTATAGTTATCAAATTCTCTAGAAGAGTAAAAATAAAGGATCTTTGGGAAATGATCATGAATGTTATTTTCCCCTCACTTTGGTTGCTCTCAACAGCAGGGTAGCGCCCTCCTTTCCTGTGTCCCTCAATGTTAATTTAGGGTAGCACTTATATACCGCTTCAAGTGCTTCTACGGCCTGCTTTAAGTGGTTTACATATTGCCCCCGATAATCTGGGTCTTCATTTTGCCAAACTCGGAAGGGTGGGAAATTGAATCGACCTTGAGCTGGTCAGGATCGAACTCCTGGCAGTGAGCAGAATTAGCCTGCAATACTGCATTCTCACCCCTGTGCCACCACGGCTGTAAGGATCTTGAACTGGTCAGGATCAAACTCCTGGCAGTCGGCAGAGTTACCCTGCAATACTGCATTCTCACCACTGTGTCACCACAGCAGTAAGGATCTTGAGTTGCTCAGGATCGAATTCCTGGCAGTGAGCAGAATTAGCCTGCAATACTACATTATCACCAGTGTGCCACCACGGCAGTAAGGATCTTGAGCTGGTCAGATCGAACTCCTGGCAATGAGCAGATTTGGCCTGCAATACTGCATTCTCACCACTGTGCCACTATGGCTGTAAGGATCTTGAACTGGTCAGGATCAAACTCCTGGCAATAGGCAGAGTTAGCCTGCAATACTACATTCTCACCACAGTGCCACCACGGCAGTAAGGATGTTGAGCTGATCAGGATCAAACTCCTGACAGTGAGCAGAATTAGCCTGCAATACTCCATTCTCACCACTGTGCCACCACGGCCATCTAGCCAGATTCAGAAGCAGAGGAGGTAAGACCTGAACTCACCATGATGAAGCCGATTTTTCCCACCAGTTCTGACCGCTGTGATCTTGGCCAGAGCGTGAGGCCCTTCGTGAATACTGGGTCCCCTGGATTTGCGGGCAGGCCTTTGTCTTTGGGGAGCACAGTAAGACTCATCAGAGGAGCTCAGATCTTCGTACTTCCCTGAAGGTCCAAAAGTGCAAGCAGTCATTTTTAAAAAAATATACATTATTTATTATTTTATTATGTAAGTCAAAATACGAAACAGTAAAACAAACAAAGAAAGTGAAACAAAACAAAAGCATATATTCAATCCTAACAACAACAAAAAGGAGAAAAAAATTGTGCGCAAAAAAAGAGAGAGAGGTAAAAGTGATCAATTAAATTTAACATTTAACATGTAGGATCCATCCTGGCTGGGTGCTGAAACAAAAGAAAAAGCAGTGAATTCTCCTCCTCTTTTACAAATATATACTATATAGAGACTGGAAACCATTTGTGGACTTTCTATGCACTAAATATAACAGATTTTATAACTAACTCTATATCATCACTCTATCTAAATATAAAAGAAGAAAGAAGAAAAAGAAGTCAACAGGTTGAGCTGAACATTACACTAATCTTCAAATCCCTCCATTAACCCTCTGTGGTTATACTTAGCGCACAGAAAGTCCACAAATGGTTTCCAGTCTCTTATAAAGCTGCCTAGTCCATTATCTCTAATCAAAGCTTTGATTAGCATTCTAGTTATTCTTGAATCTGTTTCCTGTTGGGCCGAGCTCAAAGGGAAGATTTCCATCAGCTCCATCCACCTGTGCTTCCGATTCAATCAGATCCTTTTTCCACGTGATTATAGCCTTTTACTCACCTGTGCCTCTCCGCAACACTTTGGGCACAGGCGCCGTATGCAAGTCTATCAGCCCCACAATCTTCATGTGTCCGTATTTCATGGCCAAGGTCCGTGCTGTGGCCCCCGTGCTGTCCCGTATGTCCACTTTCACGCCCTGTGGGAAGGCACCAACCTTCACTCAATCTGTCCAGTAAAAATGAACTGGTAGCAATTAGAAACATTTGCAGTAACCAGGGAACTGTGTTGTGGCCTAGCCAGTGGCCAGCGGAGCTGGTGGCAGACTCAGATAGTGAGGAGGTGGGACCAGTCCTGGGGGCTGGGGAAGTCTCTGATGAGGGATCTGTGTCAGAGGCAGAGATGGGGCCAGGACCGTCCGACAGTTATCAGCTGTCTTCGGAGTTGGACATCAGTAAGGCAGAAGAACAGCTGGAGCCTGTTCCCAATGTATGCATGCACAGAGCTGCCAGGAGAAGGAACAGCCAAAGAACAAGGGCCGACTCAGGAGTAAAGCTTCAGGTGGACAGTAGGGAATAAAGAGGAGTGAAAAGGAAGAGGAGTTTGCAGGAGACAATTAGTTCAATTCATGAGGGTGAAATCTGTTCCTGACTTCTTGCCAAGTAATTACTGCTACAGCGTGGCGTTTGGAAGATATCGGCCTGACAGCTCTCCAAGCCCGATCAAGATCTGTAGTTGTGAAATCTCACGAAAGACTGTTTGCCGGGGCTTTGCTGGAGAGGAATTCCCTTTAACCTAAATAAAAGAGGTTTTATCAGGATGAGGAGTTGGCTTCATGATCTTGGGAGGTCTAGGTCAGAACAAATTCCTAATGAATATCTTTTGAGGGCCCATATTCCAAATGCAGTCATCAGAAGATTAGTGTGAAAAGCTTGTGAAAATTAACCTAAATTATATCAGCTTTATTCATGCACTATGCTCGCACAAAACCAGAACAGAATATTATGGCTGAGCAGGATATAGACACCACTGTTTAATAAACAGGCATGGTGCTTTTGATCTTCCTGGAAATCAATGGTCACTCACATGGCTGAGAAGATACTGGACGATGATCTCATGACCAGAAGCCGCTGCTTCCATCAGAGCGGAGTATCCACAAAGGGGTTCCCTGGCACGAGAGAAAATTAAAACGTATGGAAGTCAAAACTGGCGTGGTTAACAATGGGGCAAAAGGAAGGCTAGTTACAAATGCACAGAATTAAGAGAACGGGGAATTATCCCCAAAACACAGATTAATTTCAGATGACCTCACCTTCCAAGGTAAACCATGTTTATTTAAGGATCTGGATTCTGCTTTTGATTTCACACGTGCCCCCAAAGTAACTTACATAAAGCCAATCAGCCCGACTGGCCGACTTTGGAATAGTAACTTAGCCAAGGAGTTGACAACCATGAAAATTTACTCTTCTTCATAGCATTCTCTAATGGCCTCCATGAAAAACAGGAGGCATAGTCCCAGTTTACTAACTCGTTCTGGGCCACTAAGTATGGGGCTGGATTTGTTTATTATTAGACTAGCTGATAATCAGGCACTGCCCACATTTATTTATGGGGGGAAATGTCCAGACCAAATGTAATTTCTAATGTTGGATTTTCCCCCTTAACCAGAGGGAGCCCCCTTGTGGAGTACTGTGAAGCCGTTACCATGGCAACTCCACTGCGCTGTACAGTAGAAGCCATTTTATGGCAGTACNCTGGCCTGGAAACCAGGAGACAGTGAGTTCTAGCCCCACCTCAGGCGTGAAAGCCAGATCAGTGATTTGGGGCCAATCATCAGGAGACAGTGAGTTCTAGCCCTGCCTGAGGCATGAAAACCAGCTGGGTAATTTTGGGCCAGCCCCTCTTTCTCAGCCCAACTCACCTCACAATATTGTTGTGGAGAAAATACCCTCTTCTCCCTGAAAATAAGACCTCTCCGGATAATAAGCCCAATTGGGCTTTTGAGCGCATACACTAAAACAAGCCCTTCCTGAAAATACTGCAACACAGCAGCAGCCATGAGGTGACCACGCTCGCCGCCTCCTGCACCTCAAAAATAATAAGACCTCCCCGAAAATAAAACCAAGCACTTTTTACAGAGGTCAAAAGAAAATAAGACCCTGTCTTATTTTCGGGAAAAATGGTAGGAAGAGTAGGGGGTGAGGGTGGGAGGGGGAGGAAGGGAGGGAGAGAGAGAGGAAGAAAGAGAAAGAGAGAGAGAGGGGGGGAAGGGAGGGAGGGACGGAGAGGGAGAGAATGAACGAACAGGTAGCCAGTATAGGCAGTGCTGGCAACAGATCACAATCTAATTCTAAGAACCAGGGAAATGATTATATTCCTTCAGCTCAGAGAACACAAAAATGTTATAATCCTATTCTAACATCTGCCAGTAACATCATACCCAAGCCCCTTAGCTTGACAGAGAACAGAAACGAAGAATCCTAATTCATCTTTAGATTACTTATTCTGGAGCAAAACAGCCTGTATTTCAAAAGGAGCCCTGTCTTCCTGGAAGGCCTTGAGAGAGATCTCAGGTGGTCTGCAGGTGTTATGACCGAGGCTTCCCAAGAGCATGATGCAAACTCCTGGTCCCAACAAAAAACCCTTTTATTAATTTCCTGTGAATTCTACTCATTCACNTTATTATTATTATTATTATTATTATTATTATTATTATTATTATTATTATTATTAAAAAAAACAAAATTGTAAGTTGCCCAGCCACCTATGTGTGACCTGGGCATCTACCGCAATTTCTTTAATACACAAATCTCATTCTATTTGGTTAGTTATTTTGAGGTCATACTTTGCTGTTATAAATAAAAATAAGAATTCTTTATCAGCCAAAAGTCTGATTGGACACACAAGGAATTTGTCTTCGGTGCAGAAGCTCTCGGTGTACATAAAAAAAATACATTCACCAAGAATCATAAGACACAACACTTAGCGATAGTCAGAGGATACTAAATTAGCAATCAAAATCATACTAGGAAACTAAATAAAACAATATAATCATAAAGATACAAGCAACAAGGTTATAGTCATAAGTGGGAAGAGACAGATAATAGGAAGGATGAGAAGAACAGTAATACAGTCTTAGTCAGGGGTCGGCAACCTTAAACACTCAAAGAGCCACTTGGATCAGTTTCCCACAGAAAAGAAAACACCGGGAGCCACAAAACCTACCAGGGGTCGAAAAGCTAAATAAATTGTGTACTGGCGGATGTGACACACATTTTGAGCAAGAGGGAGCTGCAGCAGAGGGATGAAAGAGCCACATGCGGCTCCAGCCACATGCAGCTCCAGCACCACAGGCTGCCGTCTTAGTAAATAGTTTGACAGTGTTGTGGGAATTAGTGGTTTAGCAGAGTGATGGCGTGCTGGGGGGGGGGGGACTCTCCTTGTGTCTAGTTGTTGTGTGCAATGTAGTTGTGTGCAATGCATTTGACCTTGATTCTTAAAAACTGAGCTGGCTGTTGTCAAAACGAAGAGCTAACCAGAAGTGGCACTTGCCCTATTTAAACAGCGTGACCGATTTCATATTTTGACAGCCGTTCTAAAGCTCACCCACCTGGAGCAAAAAGGCAGCCGCACATTCGTTCCCACAGCTAGCTGCCAACATCAGCGGGGTCTGTCCTTCTGGGGTGGACATATTCACGTTTGCTCCGGCTTGTAGCAGCATGCGCACAACGGTGTCGTAACCGATGTAGGAGGCGTACATCAGCGGAGTCCAACCGCCTCGGTTCTTCTGATCCAAATCCTTCTCCCCTCTGGAAGAGACACACCATGTGAGATTTCCCCAAAGGTGGAAAACTGCCAGCCATTGCTGTTCAGGGCCAGAAAGTCAGAATGGTTTCTCTAGTCTAAAAACCAGTGTTTTCAAAAATCCTTTTAATCTAATAGGAAATTAACTCTGGCTACATCTTATAAAGAGAACCTACCGTATTTTTTGGAGTATAAGACACACCAAGATTTTGAAGAGGCAAATGAAAAAAAAAAGTTTTTGCACTCTGCAGACCTCCCAAAAAAGGCCTGTTTTCCACAAAAATGGGCCCGTTCCCCCTCCCCTCAAAGGGCATGAATAGCCTGTAGGAGGTTTGTAGAGTGCTTGGGGGAGGGGGATAAAAATGAGCAAAAATGGCCCCGTTGTTCGCAAAAACGGACTCATTTTTTGTCAAAAAAAGGGCATGCATAGTCTTTAGGAGGCTTATAGAGTGTTCCTGGGGGCTGGAGCGGGGGCAAAATTGAGGAAAAACAGCCCATTGTTCACACATTTCTGCCCTCCCCAGCCCCAGGGGCTCTTTATAAGCCTCCTAAAAGCTCCGCACGGCCATTTTGGTGAAGGGGACGAGGTTTCGAGTGGCAACAAATGCTGTATTTAGTGTATAATACACATCCAGATTTTCAGCCTCTTTTTTGAGTGAAAAGGGTGCGTTTTATACTCTGAAAAAGTATGTTATATAAAATGTTTTATAGGTTACCACCAGCTAGTCTACCTTACCAGCAGCTAGTCTAGTCAAAGCGTATAATAATTTATCACCTAATTGCTGGAAATGTGACCAAATACCGGGCACCTACTACCACATGTGGTGGGCATGTAGAAAGGCAAAAGACTGCTGACAAAAGATTTAAATGCGGCTGGAAGAAATGATCAGACAGAAATTGGAATTTAAACCGGAACTATTCTTATTGGGAATTATAAAAGAAGGTCAAAGTAAAAGGTTAACATATTTAGAGAGCCGAGGTGGCGCAGTGGTTAAATGCAGCACTGCAGGCTACTTCAGCTGACTGCAGTTCTGCAGTTCGGCGGTTCAAATCTCACCGGCTCAAGGTTGACTCGGCCTTCCATCCTTCGGAGGTGGGTAAAATGAGGACCCAGATTGTGGGGGCGATATGCTGACTCTGTAAACCGCTTAGAGAGGGATGAAAGCCCTATGAAGCAGTATATAAGTCTAACTGCTATTGCTATTGCTATTCATTACATATTAATGAATGATGAATGAATGATGAATAATGAATGATGTTACATATCATTAACAGCAGCGAGAATAGTTTATGCCCAACAATGTAAGAGTGAGAATATACCTCTAGCAAGGGGAACAATAAAGAAAATATTAGACTGTGCCGAAGATGATAAGACTAACGCTGGAATTAAAAAACAAAGGAGAGACAGAATAGTATGAAATTTGGAACAGATTTTATCAATGGTTGGATTTGAGGAATAGAAGTCGGAATGGAAAAGAACAAGGATGAAAGAAGATGTAATATACGTTTTATATTATGTAAATGTAACGTTGAAAAGGGATTATGTGTACATAATTAGGAATGCATGTAGTATGCGTAAGATATTCGTGTTATACTTTAGTTTGGCAGGGCAGAGATAATGCCAGGACCGCTGCACCATGTCCAACTTTTATTTTTAACAAAGTATTTAGAAAAATCCTTTTAATCTCACTGAGTTCATTTTGCCCGTTGGGCATCAAACTTCTCAAGATGGCTTGCTGCAGAAGATGAGAGAAAGGGGCCAACTATGCTCATCGGCTTAATTTTTGACATGGGATTAGTTGCCATGGAAACAAACTTTTGGGTGGGATGGGCCTGGAAATGCTCTTCTTATGTTTGCAAAGTACTGTGTGCCACTCTCAGCATTTCCTCTGGCTTTCTTGAAGGCATGTTTGGGCTCCCACTAATTTACACACGTAGCACAGAATTATTTCATTTACTTATACGGCTAAAACACTGAGCTTGTCAATCAAAAAGATCAGCAGTTCAGCGGTTTGAATCCCCAGTGCCGCATAACGGAGTGAGCTCCCCTTACTTGTCCCAGCTTCTGCCAATCTAGCAGTTTGAAAGCATGCAAAAAATGCCAGTAGAAAAATAGGGACCATCTTTGGTGGGAAGGGAACAGCGTTCTGTGCGCCTTCGGTATTTAATCATGCCGGCCACATGACCACGGAGACATCTTTGGACAGCGCTGGCTCTTCGGCTTTGAAATGGAGATAAGCACCGCCCCCTAGAGTCAGGAACGACTAGCACATATGTGTGAGGGGAGCCTTTACATTTACTGCCTTTATTATTTTTAAAATGTGAGTTGAGTTGGGCTGAGAGAGAGTGATTGGCTCAAAACACAGCTAATTTTCATGCCTACAGTGGGACTAGAATTCATTTCCTCTCAGTTTCTAGCCTGATACCTTAACCACTAGACCAAACTGGCTATTCTGAGTTATCAAAATGGGGTAATGCAGGCAAATGAGGTAGCATAGACTCCCATTTTAGACTGGATGTGAAACATTTTGGAATGTTAAAACAAAATCCCATCCCTATTACTGACTTTCATGAAATTACTGAAAGTGGGAAGTTCCTGTTAGCTATTCTCTTACTGTCAGGCTTCAAAAACCAAGACAGGCAAGTTGTGATGCTTCCAAGTAGATTTCTTTACTGTTTCTCACCTATAGATTGAATCTTGCCAAACTAAAGCAAGCTACCACCCACATCAAGCATATATGCTGGGAACTGTTAGGGAGGAGCTGCCTCCACCCTCTTTCTCTCACACCAACTCTCTGCACCGAGTTGTCTCTTGCTCCTCTGGAATGCAGCCTCTCCTTCCTGGGAATCCAGACGACGTTCTATCCCACTTACCGTTCAATACTGTCCTTCACCACCTCATACTGGCCTATGGAAGCGGCTGTGTGAAGATCCAAAGGTATGTCTAATTCTTGGGGGCTGGCGGCTTGGCCCTCTCCATGCCACATGGTTAGGCTGCGGTTCAAGAGCTCGGTCTCGCTGGCTTCATCGCTCAGTTCCGACATTCTGCCTTCGGAAGCCAAAAGAAAGAAAGTTCCTTGAATTCTTTAATTTTGCCGATCTAAGGAAATGCGACAGCAGAGCGCTAAAGATTGCGGGGCTGAAATTAATCCAGGAGCCAACAATCGCAGGGCTGAAATTAATCCAGATGAAACAGTAGTAGTGTTATTCCACATTCAATGTACCATATTTTTCTGAGCATTCTGAGCATTTTCCCTCCTTTCCCCATTTGTACGCAACAAATGGGGAAAATGGGGCTTACAGAGGCGGCAATAGGCTATGGCCATCCCTGCAGCCTGAAACAGCTGATGGAGGCCTGTGATTAAACTGAAATTGAAATTGAAACTTGCTGTTTGCTGCAAGGAGGAAAATTGCTGGGCACACACAGATTTTTTTTTCTTCTAATCAGGCTAAACTGAAACAGGCTGTTTGGTGCAACGAGATAAGTCAATAACTATAAATGCCTACAGAATGTTCAAATTATTAGCCTTATTTTTTAAACCCTGCTTAATTATTGTTCTAGACAGCTTAGCAAAATGAAGAAGCTTTTTAAAATAAATGCTTGATCTGAAGAGGCCCGGTTCTCTTGTATCTTCTTTTAAATAGCAGAGAATAATGTATACTTCCAGAAAGCCCCATCAATTTTAACAGCATCTGTACAAGTATAACCTGTAATGTAACACTACAAACTGTGTATATCTTCTGTACTGTTTGCTTTTTGGTGCAAGGAGGCAAATTGCTGGGAGGCAGAGGCAGATTTTTTCTCTCTTGTTTTCCTCCCCAAAAGCTGGGTGCGTCTTATACTTTGGAGCGTCTTATACTCTGAAAAATACGGTATTTATTATGATGTTAGGAGTGCTTAGCCTTCTATCAACTACATAAGGGATTTTGCTCTCCTTGATTCATTCAGTTATTTGGGCTGAAACCAAATCTGTGCTCACAGGCAATGGTGGGAAGGGGCGCAATTTACACACAATGACAATAGTTCCTGAATTTGTACACACTTATTCTAACTTTCAGAACATGCATTTATACACAACATGCAATATAGCCGTCCATCTCATAAAACTCTGAGCAGCTGCCCATCAAAAACATCAGTACAGGCAGTCTTCAATTTACAACCATTCATTCAATTGACCAACAGCTGCTACTTAGCCCCTTCACACTTAGGGAAGCAGGAAGTGTATATCCCACAAGATATACACTTTTCTAAAAGCTTTTTTTCAAGAGGCGACTGGACTTTCTGGTTTTTCTTTGAAGACGTTTTCGCTTCTCATCCAAGAAGCTTCTTTGGCTCTGACTGGAAGGTGGAGAATGGAAGGAGATCCAGTCAGAGCCGAAGAAGCTTCTTGGATGAGAAGCGAAAACGTCTTCAAAGTAAATCTAGAAAGTCCAGTTGCCTCTTGGAAAAAAAAGCACCTTTGGGACAACCATGACCTGGAGGACTGAGAATCTCTATAGACCCATGATGGCAAACCTATGGAACGCATGCCAGATGTGGCACACAGAGCCCTCTCTGTGGGCATCAATGCCGTCGCCAGCTGCTCTTCTGGTTTTTGTTGCACGTTGTCCAACTGATCTTCGCAACTTGCCGGAGCCCCGGAACAGTTGTGTGCACCTGGACACATGCACGCCGGAACCCAGGAAACTCAAAGGCCAGCTAGCTGATGCAAATGAGCACGCCGGCCACCTGGTTCTTTGTGTTCCCAGCGCTCCAATGCGCTTGAAGACCAGCTGGCCAGAACACATGTGCCCACTGAAAACCAGAAGACCAGCTGGCCAGCACACACGAGCAAAACAATACAAAACAATTTGAAGAAATATTAAAACCATCATAAAACAGGTTCTTCTTTGATGGCAAATGAGTTGAGTTGAGTAGAGTAGAACAGAATAGAATACAAAATAGAATAAAATATAGAACAGAACAGAGCATAACAGAATAAAAAATCAGGAGTAGAATAGAATAGAATTCTTTATTGGTCAAGTGTGATTGGACACACATGGTGCAGATGCTCTGAGTGTACATAAAAAGACAAGATACATTTGTCAAGAATTATAAGGTACAACACTTAATGATAGTCATAAGGTACAAATAGCAATCAGAATTCATTTTGGACCCTGGGTTATTCTCATTTTATTGCTTTTTGATCATCATCATCATCATCATCATCATCATCATCATCATCATCATCATATATTCATTTAATGACACTACAATCCCTTGCAGGGTGGAGTCTGGGCAACCGAATGGAGCTAGCAAATGGCCGGATGCCTTTCCTGTCACCAATGCAGAGTTTTGTTTGGCAGATATAGTCTGCCCAGAGAGATTAAATATCTTCCTCTACCTAGGAGCGAACTCGCAGCCTGATTGTAAGGCGAGAGCTCCACCTCTAGGCCACCATGCCACTCTTTTATTGCTCTAAAACTTATGTTCTATCAATTGTTCTAAAGGTCCATTGTTCCTCAGCCTGGGCCATGTTAAGACAAGTGGACTTCAATTCCCAGAATTCCCCAGCCAGGCTAGGGAATTCTGGGAGTTCGTTGAAAAGAGTTGGCTTCTTAAAGTTGCCCAAGTTGGGAAACACCAGGATGAAGAAGAAAAAGGCAGTGGTGCCTATCAACCTCGTAGGCTGGGACCGATGGGAGTTGTAGTACAAATCCTGTTGACACGGGTCACAAACGCCCATTCGTTTCTCAAGCGGCCCCGCCAAAAAAAAAAGCACTAGGCCTTGGGGGGCTCCCGGGCTACGAAGCCTTTTGGAGAACCGCACTCCATAAGTTTTTCCTCCTCGCGGCCACCGTACGCACTTCACCTACCCGGCGCTCCGGCGAACGAGCGGCGACGAAAGTAAGAAGAGCGAGAGAGAGAGGCTGTCAGCCGGGTCTGCAGGCCTCGCTCGTGCCCCCGCCCTCGTGACCCCACTCTTCTCCCGCCTCCTCCTTCTGGCTACTCGTCTTCCGTTACGTCCGTCATCCATCGCCGGGGCCCAACCAACCAATGAGAAGATGGTCTCGCGCTACCTCCCAGCCTCCCGAGACGGTCAGCCAATGAACGCCCTGCAAAAGCAGAGCGGTGGCAGAGAAAACAACCTCTTGTCTGAGTCTCGCCAGGTCCAGAAAGATGACAGGAGAAACGACCGTTTAAAGAAAAGAGGAGAAGGAGAAAGAAAGAACAGCGGAGTGTCCTTCCTCTCCTGGATAGATCCCTGTCAAGTATTTAATTTTTTATTGGCTGGTCATTTCCAAGCAGAGAAGGGAGGCCACCCGAAACGAAGGTTGCTATCCTGCCAGGACCTCCCGGTAGGTGGAGTCAAAGCCGGGAAACGCACGCCGTTTGAAATGCGGTTCGGAGTTAACGGCAGTTGCGGTTCGCGGACGTTGTGCGGTTCCTCCCTTGTAGCGAGGAAGGGGTGGTGAGGGCGGCTGAGCTACGCCGGTGGCCTAACAGCGAGGCGGTATTCAACCGGACAGGGACTTCCGCCTCCGGTTGCTACGGACGCGCCGAAAGCTGGCCCTGTTGCTAGGAGGCGGGGCTAATTGATAGACAGTTGCCATGTGACCAAGCTCCCTTTCCTCCCTCCCTGTATCTCATTCTTGGTCCATTGCCTCCAAGCTGTTTTCTTCCCCCTTTAAATGATGTAATTGAAAGAAATATTTAATTCACGTAACTGAAAGAAAT